TGCAATACTGTGTCTCCCAATCCAATCAATATAGAGATCTGGGCACTGTCTTGAGATGACTTGTTGTGAAGACCTAAATTAGATGATGCACCTTGTTCTCTTGATTATTACACTAAAAAAAATGCTAATAACAGCCTTGGGGCAAGCCTTTAATCCACAATCCCCACACATCCCATCATACTCAGAAACATGTGCATACTCTTCCAGATTCAGTAGAAAGAAGAACTGTTCTTTTCTAATATAGGAAAGACAGATGAACAGTGGAACCCCTCTTTCAAAGACCTAGCTTCCATGGCAGGACTTCACAGAGTAAGGGACTTCCCTGCTTGCCCAGACATGGTCATGGTTTATGTGCTTGTGCTGCACTAGTACAGGAGAGTGAAAAGCAAGGAACCACATAAAGTGGGGCCCTTTTGAGGTCAGACCTTATCAGCAGACTTCGGAATGTGTGTCCAGAAACTAGTTTGTCTTTGTTTCTACTGCATTAAAGGAAAGAGAAAAAGGCTCATCTTCCCTTATGTAAATAAACAAGATCACAGGGAGAAATACACTACATTTATAGTATCAGTCTTTTCCAAACAGAAAGGCTGTAACAGGTGGCAGTACACTTACAGCCTGTTCTTTGAACCTTTAAATCCTCTCTCTCACATGAAGGAAGAAGCAGGGTAAGAAAATCTTTATTTCTGCGAACTGTGGTTCGGTTTATTTGCTTCAGGCTGTAAAAATCTCACTGCAAACATTTACAACTTAGTCTGAGCTACAGCAGCTGTAACTGGTACATGGTACTTCAGTGCAGTTTGTTTACAAGATGAAGGCCTTAGTCCCAGCCAGAGCAGGAGCACATACATTGACATTTGAAGCCTTGCTTAAGGAAATCCAGACTGACACCCTCTTCCTACTGCAAATCACTGCCTGGTCCCATTTCCAGTTTGACTGCGGCTTTCTTTCTCCCAGCACACCCGCAGGTAAAAAAGCATCACAGGCAGCACACCTGTGGCCAGGTGTGGAGCAAGTGAGGAGATGGTGCCAGCTGTCTGTGCAAAGGAGCTGCTGTTGGTCCTTCCTGGCTGGAGGGATGGTTGGTCATTAGTTGCAGATTTGGCTTTGACAAAGCAAAGGAGACAAGCCACAGAACAAACAGGAGCAATAAGGAGCATCTCCAGAACTCTGTTAAGGTTTTGTTTGAGGGGAAAGAAAACAGACTAAAAAGTATATCAACCCAGGCAGAGAGGGGACATTAGCAGGATCAGGATACATGGTGACATCTTTCACCACAGCAGCACCCAGTGAGTCCCCATTTGGCTACTAGTACAAAGAGCCACATTCCTGAATACATATTGGAGTGTTAGTCCCCTGGAGCTTAGCCTACTAAGATGACTGTGTGAGTCCAAGCAGAAATGGACAAAACCTGGTTTTTGCTGGTCAAATGCTGCTTTTATCCTGTCTTGACCAGAAAAATGGGCAGGCTCAGACTGTCTTGGTTTTCCATGTATATCAAAAACTGGCCCCTAACAGGACAAGAAGAACAGGTCTGAACTGGAGGCATCAGAGACAAAGAACTTGCAAGACCTCCAGGTCCTGCCATGCTGGCTCACAGAGAACTTGCTGAGCCCTGTAGTCCTGCTACTACATGGGTGCTGCCTTTATAGGTCACTGCTCCAAAGCCGTCTGCAACATGAGTAGAATGGGCTTGAGCTTACTTTGCTTCTTTCCATACCTCAAAACACCCAACTACACATTATGGTCACCCCACGTCTAGATGGCTCCTCTTGTTGCACTGCCATCCCTCTCCCAGCTACAAAGCCTGAAACTTCCAAGGGCAGATTTTCCTTAATTAATCATGAGGCAGATCATTGTTTTCTCAGTTTCTTTTTCCATTTCTGAGTTGTGATGGTTCCTGCCAGCTTTCTGCCTGGCATGGATTTCTACAACAAGAGCAACATAACTTCTGAAAATAGACACTTACAGTGGGAAGCCTGACACACCCTATGTGGAGCTTATGAGTGGCAGAAACATAATCAAAAGCCAGCCAAGACACTAGGCCATGCTAACAGCATTCAATTAAGGCTCTGAGCAAAGCAGGTCTACAAGAAAGCAAATGGGAACTCCATAAAAGCTGCTGCACAGAACACTCCAGGTTCTTTTCATCACTGAGAGGCATTATGGTAATCCTAGCTCAGGCGAGCTATTCCAATGTAGCTGGCATGTTCAGAATCCCTTTAAAAATAAAAATTCATGGAAATGGCCAGCCTGCCGTAATTTCCTGATACAAAACGGTATGCAAAGCCTATGGGAAAAATGCCAGCAGTGGTATGACACAAGTCTGAGCTCTGCCTGTCATTATCAAGGGTGGGTTTTTCAGGGTAAAATTCTCCTGGGCCAAATAACAGGAGACTGATAAATAAAGCTTGTCAACTGCCCTTTCTGACTCACTCTCTCCTGCTGGAAGGGTGACTCACTGTCATGTGTGAAAGGCTGCCAGGTCTTTCTTACAAGCTTAAACAAGCATGGGTTCTCTGTGTTAGACGTACATTGCCTCAGAAGAAGTAGGCACTCAATGCTGAGAAGGCAGCCCAGCAAAGGACTCTGCTGACTAAAAGATCTGAACTTCCAGGTATTTCTCAATCCTTTCTGGAAAGTTCAAGGCTGTTGTTAGATTACCACAGAAAACTTAGACCCGAAGCCATGGCTGAGGGCTTGGCTGACAATCACAGTATTTTAAACTATGGCTTGCTAGGACCACCAGATTTTACTAGGTAACTGCTGCAGAGTGAGACAGACAGAGCATTCTGGGTGCAGACAGAAGTAACTGAGACCATGCCTGCTCCAGAGCTGCCTTTTGTCCAAAGAAAACAGCATGCTAAAAGCAGTCACTTATTGCTCACTATTTCATGGTGAGAAAGTAGCTCCATTGGGCTGCTTCCCTTGAGGAACCTGAGGAACCTGCCCTGAATCTGGAGAAGGCAAAACATCATCTCTCAGTCAGAGTAGCTCATTGACTGCTTCTGAGCAATGCCAGTGGCTGTTCAACGCTTCCTCCTCTCTGCAGTGACACAGACCTTGTAGGCAACTGACAGAGAACAGAAAGCTTCTTTGCACCCAAGAGCTTTGCTGCCTACGTGAGTGCATGCACTACCCTTTGGTCTTTCCTGTCATCCTGGGACCACCACAGGCCAAGTGTGCAGCTCTGTGAAATCTCTGCCCCAGGCCGCAGGGACTGTTCACAAATCCCAGTTATTAGCACATACCACAGCCTACATTTCCCTGCAGGACTGGTGTGGCAAAGGACACATTCCCGAGTACTCTTTCTAAAGCCCCATACAATGCCTGCTTGCTTGCCATGAGAAAGCAAGGTGCTTTTGCAAGGACTGGTGTACTGGGATGCCAATACACAGATCAGAGGGCCCAGTGTCACAGCTAGACAGACAAAGCTGTAGCCATCCTTTAGCGTATAGAAGTCTCCTCATGTAGGAACTGAAATGTTTCTCCCGTGACCAAGAGAAGGAAGCTGAGCTGCACCCTCCCTCAGCTCCAGGTATTAACCAACATCTTGCTGCATCATTCAGTAGGGAAACTATGCTGTTGCAGGGCAATGATACCACAACTGCCTTTTGCATGTTTGGCCAAGTATGCACTATCCATACTTGGCCAAACATGCAAGTTTGGCTAAGCTGGTAAAAACAGTTGTGCAGGCTTTGGCCCAGCTCTCAGAAAACCTGCAATGAAAGCACCATGTCTCCCCTTTGGGAGAGAATATGTTGTTTTCCATGCCAAAAAATGTCCAAGAGCTTATTTTAAATATTTTTCTCTTTACCTGAACAGATTTCTAGTGAAAAGCTTGGGAGAGAAACTGTAGGCCACAACAGCCTCATCAAATGGTAAAAGGGCTCACCCAACACGTGGAAAACAAGGCTAGGCCACAGTGCTACTGAGCGTTAATATAACATGCCAGTCTAAGTGAAGAGACTAAATAACAGCTGTGAATCTGCAGTTCAAGTGTCTGTTTCAACAAGGCAGTGCAGGGCCCTGCTATATAAGTGGTCTAGTCGCTGGACCACTAGTTACTCCAGAAGTGAATTTCTCATCACAATTGTGCTGCAAAATTCCATCCTTTTAAAAACTGAACCATACATTGCAGGGGAAAACTGTATTATTTTTATCTAGGATAGATATATTTGGCTGAAAAACTTCCAAACCATCACTGACGTGTCAGATTTCTCCCCTTAACAATGCTGGAAATATTACCTCTCGGGTTTTCTTTCACTGTTTAATCATCCATTATTTTTTCATTGATTCTTATTAACTATGACAAAATCAGGATTTCATCCTAAATTTTCCTCCTGATGCTAATGATCAGCATGTACAGATAGTCTTACAGGCAAAATGATACCATTTCTTGCCATGAATTAATTTTGTTTCAAAATACTAACATCCCAACTGCACATTTTAAGTTTGAACATCTAAAATCTGCTTTCCCAATAATGTGAAATCAATGATAAAAAAAATATATACATAATTTAAAATATAAATTTAAATGAAAATTTGGTAGATACTCCAAGTAACAGAATTTTTTTTTTGCTATACTTATTTCACAATGAGTCATATATCCAAGAACAAAATGAGAGATGATGGAAATAGATTAAGAAGATAGCTAGATAATAGAATAGATAAGAATAATAGAATAAGAATTCTTATTCAAGGAAGTAACTTCCTTCAAAAGCAAAATTTCAGGAACTTTTACACTGTAGTAAGTTACATCTCCGGGTTGCTTTGCTAACCCTTTAGAAATAGAGAGTTGACATTAAAATCAATAATCATATCCATTTGCAGGTGTTAAAGCACTTCCCAAAATAAGTCAGTGAAATAATCTCTGAAATGGTGCAATGAAGGCATTAAGATGAAGGTGGAATTGTTAGTGACAGTCCAGGTTTCCAGTCACCTGGTGTTTCAGTGTGTGCTGAACTAATCCACCTCTGACAAATGTGTTAGGCTTCTTAATCTGCAATTTCCAAGTGATTTATTTAGCAACGCAAAACCATGCCACTCAACACAAATATCACATCTGCTGGTTGCTCTGATTACAGTCACCTTCTGCCACTGCTCTTCAGAGGACAGTGCTCTGAGTACTGAGTCTGTTTTGGGGGCTTCCCAAAGATGGCAAACTGAGGTCACGCCTTTTTCTTCCTTGTGTTTCCTCCTGCTCAACCTCCTCCTCCTCCTTTTTCTCCTCAGATGTGCTTAGGAGAGGCTTTAAGTCACTACAATGAGCTCCAATGAAGCCCACCCTGTGAGGAAACATCGTGTTAATCTGTTTGACACATTGAAGGAAAGGAAAACAGGAGAAAGGGGAACAGATTTGCCATGTTCCTTAGGTAAACCAGCAAGGAACTTTGCTTCCTTTAGCAGAGAATATCTCCTCTGCCACAGGTTAAAAACAGATCACTGTGCTTATACCCTCAGTACCTTATATCATCTTTCTGTCTGAAGTGTACATGTGCGCAATACGAATTGCGTATGTCCAAGAGAAGCTCAGTGCTCCCCGGAAAGTTTGGCCCTGTTGCATACAGATTACATGACTCTGTGCATAAGCTATAAATCCAAGACACTCAGGATGCACCCAGCTTCCAAAGTAGGCATAGAACCATGACATGTGAATTGCAGCAAATTTCACACTCTCAAGAAAAACCAGACTCGCTGGTTGTGTGTTGTAGATATGTCCAAAGGTTTTGCATGCACAGAGCTGTAGCATTCATTAGATTGCCAGAACTCTGAAGATCCAGGCAAATTAAGGCAATTCTCAAATTCTAATTTCCAGGCAGAAAAGGAAGACTTTTGAGGGAAAGTCTTACACGAAGCTTTACATACACTACAATGGAGCAAAACTGATTTACAGTGGTCCTGTTTACATTAATTTTTACATTAAAAAGTCCTGTAGTGATATTGTTAACCATAGCTGGATGGGTAATGGAATTCCTCTCAGATAGCCTACCCAGGCTTGAAAGATTTAGATTTTATCAGAATAAAAGGTTCTATTTCTTTTACAATCCAAATTATATTTGAAAAATACAAGGTAGTAAAATCACTTTTTTTAATAAAGTACATCAGTAATGTCTGATCAGAACACTATTAAAAACGAAAAGAAGAAATATGAAATGGGAATGTATCGTAAGAAGGAAAAAAATAAACATCCTCTTTTGATTTTGTGAGGCTTTGATCAATTTCTGATCAAATTTATGTTAAGGCCTATTTCCTTTCCTCATGAAACTTCTGAGTTTTAAGAAAGCACTACAATGGATGGTAGCTGCTTCGCCATCAGCTAACCAAGTGTGCTACCTCTGCAAGTTTCAGGCTTGCTCAGGTCTCTCAGGACTCACACTCCTGTTCCTCTGTAACTCCTGTATAGACCAAGTCCTCAGACCAATGGCCCCTCTCCTGGTGAGGAAGAGCTAGCTGTTTGACATCCTTCCTCATAGCACTACCAAATCTGTTTATGCAGAGAAATAGCCCCTTACTTGTTAGTGAACAATTCAGAGAAGTCTGGCAGGTCATCACACGTGCGAGGCTGAGGGTCCCTAGCCTGACAGTCCTGGTTCAGGAAGAAGTATTGAGCACTGTCCTTTGGTAAGGGCAGCAGCGTGCTCAGCACTGGTGAGCACTGCTGTATCATGCTGCTTATGGAAAGACGCTTGTCATGGTCTTTTCTTGAAAGAAAACAAATGCAGGTGTTAGTTCAGTGTATTCTAACAGGTCAGGGTCCCTAAGGACTCACCACATTGTCAAATGTGTACCTTGGATACAGCGATTGTGCAGTATTTGCATCAGCAGTTCCATCTCCTCGTTTCTGCAGCTCTATATTCTTCTTGCCTCTTAAGGCAGGATTGAACACATCAGAGAAAAGAAACCTGCCGATTTCTTCCCGAATCACTTGGAAGTGCTTACGTCTGAACACAAGCCAAGTCACATAGCTGCTGAAGTTGTGCAAGCCCTAAGTGGAAAACACAGACCCCTTTTTCACTGGGAAATGGCCCAGAGTCCCACTGCATCCCAGAGTGCAGCTGGGCATGACGGCACTAAAATTCCAGCAACCATTTTACATCAACCTTTACCATGCTTGCATCAGTGAAGATTTGAAAGGACTGGATTTTTAAAGGTATGCACAGACAGATGAGGCTAGAAACAGAGTTAGTTCAAATGGATTTAGTCTTGCCCAACTCTGACCAATTTGGCTTAGTTTTGCTGCTAGAAGACTAAGGCAATAACCTGAGATCACCACCCAGTTTCCCTCAATAATCAATGGAAAGAGACTGATGTGATGAGTCATTCTGTGGGGGCTCCTATCACACACATCTGTCTCTAGAGGCAATAATTCACCCACTGGCTGAGCTTCTCTTTTCTGCAATGGCTGTCAAGGCAGCTGTCTGACTGGACAGCTCTTGTTTGGGCAGCTGCAGGTAGACAAGATGATCCCCACCCTGAATGACAGCATTGTGATCACAGAAAATATTACTAGCAAATATGAACTCATCATATCTCACCTCCACGTCTGCTTACTGATTAAAAAAAACCCCAGAATCTATCTTTTCCCTCCTATTTAACATTTGTGATCCCTGGCATAAGCTGGTTCAACTCTCAGTAAACAGAATCTCTACAAAGTCTGTTCTTGAAAAGATGGCATTGCTGGGATTGCTGTGTACCCTTGGAATTGAACCCAGAGTTCCCCTCTTTCGAAGAAAGGTTTCCAAGTTCATGAAGTACAAAGTATAACTTGGGTCCAGCTGTTTTGTATTAATTTGCTGTGAGTCTCGTAAGTGGCTGATGGAGCTGTATTTTGCAGGCTAGAATAGCTTACTGGCATCTAGATATGTCACCAAGGGCAATGGAAATAAAAGAAGGCTGTAAAATTTCTTACCTACAGAGATAAAACTATGAGGCCAACAGTGAGAAGAAATCCATACACCAGACTTCCCAGAGGGACCTCAGGCTATGGTGGGAACTGCCTGGGGTACAAAAGCCACAAAGGGAATGAAACTCCCTGGCTGAGGGCTCCAAGGGGAAAAGGCTTGGGCTGAAGGGCAAAGAGGTGGTATTTTATAGGGGCATGTAGGCCCTGGAGGTAAAATTTTATTCAAAGGCTTCTGACCTACAAGTTCCTCTGCTGGGGGAACCAAAAAGGAAAAGAGCATTTGGATATGCAAGGGAGGGACTGGGCTGATACTCAGTCACACTCGCCGTTTATCTTTGTGTCTTTCTTACCCCAAAGTAGCTCCAATCTTTCTGCAATGATGGTTTTTTCCTAAGGCAGTGAACAAGAGCACAAAATTAATAGCAGCAGTCATCTTTTCAGTTCTCTAAACAGAGCACTGAATATGACTCATGGGGCTATGCCAAGCTAGCATTTCACCAGAGCAATAAAGTTGTTGTAGGTAGATCCTCATTATGAATGTGTGGACACCCACTGTCCAAGAAAAAGGTAAGACTTCTGCATTGCCTCAGAAGGAGAAAATGCAAAATGTTGTATGGCTCAGTTAATTAAATCTGACCGAGATCAAAGCTGGATGTGATGAGTGTGCAAGGCTCCCCTGCTATGCTATCTAGACTGAGCTCTTTGCATGGGCCTCTCTAAAGTGGTCAGTGCTGATCTAATCCAGTTCCTACTGAAGTCAATTAAAAAACTCTAGTGACATCACTGGAAGAACAACAAGCGAAGTTACTGAGGGCACAAAGCCAGGCCAATGCTGGTCATTAAACATGAAAACTAGGAAGGAGATGCCTGATGTATCTCCAAGAAGAAATATAAAACATGCCCAAGAATGACAAAGGGCCTTTGTTATAGAAGCAGCAATTTGCCCAGTGGAAGCCTGAGAGATGCTCTCACCACCCACTTGAGCTCAGGGATTCTCACACAAAGCCAAATGACTGTTCATTATGGTACAGCCATTAAAGCAGAGGGTGACACACACATCCCAGCAGCCTCTCCATTCTCTTGGAGATGGCACAACTCACCCGCAAGGAAATGAAAGCAGATTTTCCCCTGTTAGCATACAGATTCCCCACAGATCTGGCTTGGTCCTGCTAGATGCACAGGAAAGCCTGTCTCCACATCAGCTCTCATGATCATGACTCCTGTCATGTCCCTTATCTTCCTGGTAAAGTTAAGTGTTCCACACATCCAGGGTACCCCCAGCTGCCATCACACCAGAAACATCAATACAGAGCAGACAATGAAGAGAATACCTTTCAGCACCATAGCAATATTTATCATCTTCTCAGCTTTATTTATTGATTTTTTGATAACAAAGACCATGTATCTCCCTACCTGGCTCCCATCAGCCAAAATCCCACTGACACTTCACGTATTGTGCAAGGGAAAAGAAGCTTGACTCTGCAATGGCTGTTTTCCAAAGCACAACTCCCACAACTCGGAATGCTTTTGATTCCTTATGAGTTCTGGTAAAGCACATTATTCTGTCTTCAGAGTACTAGAGCAGAGGAACCTGAAGTGACTCCAGCTTCTTACACCTAAATGTGAGACCCAGCTTCACCTTTCAACATTACACAGCTTGTGCGCTGTCTTACAACCAGTCCTTAGTTTAGTAGAGGGTTAAATGTAGAGGTCAGCAACAGAAAATAATGCTAATAATTAGAGTCAAATAAGGCCAGGGGTCTCCACACTTCTTTCTCCCAGCACTTTCTTCCCTGGGGTGAGGTATTAAGCTAAGAGACCTGCTTGAAGCAAAGTTTCCTAAAGTAAGTGTAGAACTAGGAGGCACCTCCCATGTCTAGGGCACAGCTGCTAATTACCTAGGAAAATACAGAAAGGGTCAGGAAAACATGTAACTTGCAACAAGCTTCAGGACAGGACTTGTAAGAAATGTGACAGAATGAGCAAGAAGCATCATATTACTAGTGATACGGTCATATTGATTTCTCAGAGGTGTGGACAGGGTGGGATGAGTTCATGCATAAAAGAAGAGGGCAGAACAGCCAAGAGCAAACAGTGCAGTAAGATGGTGTTTGGATGCAAGGTGATAGTGGCTTCAGACATCTACGAGATGTGCATAGGGGCGCATGGGGCAGAAATGCTTCCTGTGCCGTTGAACAGCTCCCTCCACCAAAGCTGTGACTCCAGCTGCTCATGGATCAATCCAGCTTCAAGGATCAGTAAGGGCTGGCTCAATGTTTGCTCCACTGATGCATGCGGCTTTGGGAACACTTCGTATTTTTCCCATTATAAGAAATGCCCATAAGGAAACTGGCACCATGAAAAGGTTGCACAATCCCCAGCAACTTGAAAGGAGAAAGCCAGACACACCTATTCCTTCCTCAGCATTGGAGGCACAAAAGGACTAATGCTAACACACACAAATAACAGGTCTGGAGGAACTCTCTCAAATTCCAGTCTGCGGTAGTATCAAGATAGGATTTTAAAGTTGCATTTTACAAATCATGTAAATGGTTAAGATGAAGATGTTCTCCACCTGAGCCTCCCTTTTTAAAATTCCAGAGAAAACCTTACATGAAAAATTGATAGTTTCATGTGAACACATGGACATTTGGCAGATCTGGAAGAGAAAGCAGTTTACCAACGTAACATAAGATTTCATTAAAATGTTGTCATGGTGAATTAAAGTGAAACGCAAAACTTGAACAACACCATGAACCCATAGTTGGGTTATAAGAAAATACAGCAAAACTGGGGATGGCACATTATCAGTAATTTCTCAGCTATTTAATCTAAACTTTTTTTCTGGTTAAAAAAACCCTCATCAAAAGTAAACTTTCTGACAGTTTCCATTTTGATGAAGGACCTGTCCCATCCAAAAACATGTGTGCTCAAAAAATTCCTAACCATCTTTTATAATTAAGAGTGCTAATCAGTTCTGTTCTTTAGCTTTTGTATTTGGCAGTCCATATAATGGTCTGGGAGGATCCTGATAACATTTAAGGCTAAACTGAGTCAGCCTGGAAAAGACTGTATTTGTATAATTGCAGTATGGTATGGGAAGTGCCCTATATTATAACACACTCAGCATTAGCCTAACTCTGAAGTCAGCTGTAGTCAGCTACCGCCACCCTGTTATGAGTAACTCAGGGAGGTCTCTCTTTATACAGCACCTTACATCATCAAGGCTTTAAGACACAGCTTTTTTATAGCCTTTGTGTTTTCACAGCCTGGACACCGACAACCCAACCAACTGCCAGCCTCTAACCCCCCTGTGATGGAAATATTAAAGAACACAATTGTTTCAACTCTCTGCTCTCACTCCCATGCTGGTATTTTTATTGCTACTGGATGCCTTGCTTGCCTCAGTCCTGCACATTCTCACCCAGCAGGCAGTTAGAGTGAGTGAAGAGGCAACAGAGCTAACTAGCTGGGTATACAACAGGCTTTCTCCAGCTGCTCCCAGTTCCTGGATTCAAGTTACTTTCTGCAGTAAGTTCCTCCAACTGCAGACATTAGGGCCACCCAACAGAAACAATGAAATTCTCCCAGTCCAACAAGTGAGAAGTTTGAGAGAATGGTTTTGCTCAACAGGAACCTGGGAACAAGGATCTGGCAAAGAAGGCTGCTCCCAGGAGTGCCTGGTGAAATGCTGATGTGCCAGGATGCAAGGGAACACATCCTTAATTCGCAGTGTCCAGCACTTTGTGGGCTGGGGCACACTAAAATGAAAGCCCTGTTGGGACAGCAGTTTCAGCTCCCCTTTGACTCCATCATTTCACAGGCTACCTTGTCCTCTTGATTAGAAGGAAGCCTAGGTTCCCCCATCCCAGCCAGCAGCAAGGTTGCCCAGGGCTATGTGGTAGGAAGGCAGGTGAAGGTGTCTCTGACTCCTCTGGGGACTGGCAGCAGTTTCACACCAACCAACAGAAAAAGTCTGCCTGAAACTGCTCTAAGGTCCCATGGGACTGGGGTTCGGGGTGGTGACTGCCAGCTCTTTTTTACTGCCAGGGGAAGGAAACATTGTGCAGGAACACAGATGGCTGAGAAAGGACTCCACAACACTAGCACAGCACATGATCGCTCTGTCGTTACGTTCTCCTTCCAATAACCATTTTTTGCGGTGCTTAGTTGACAGCCAGGTCTAAACCATAACACTTTCATGTCCTTTTAAAACTCCCCTTTTCTTGCACTCATCATTCCATTGTTTTGTCTGCCTTTTTAAACACCCTCCTATCCAATCTGGTCTTCTTCAGTTTCTGTTTAATTCCCTCTGTGGGTTTCTCTCCCTTATTAGCTCACTGTTGGAACTGTTGCATCTAAAGAGAAGCTGGTCTCCACCATTCTGAAAAAGCCATGCACTGTCTTCCCCACTAAGAAGTAGAAGACCTAAACTTCCAATGCCCAAGCACAACCTCTTCTTGTCTCTTAATTCCTTCACTTACTACTCATCAGGAACTACTCTTCATGGTCTCCTTCACTTACTAGGCTAGTCTTTTACTATCTCAGACTTGGCATAAAAGGGAATTCAGGCAGGGATCAGTGGCAACCAGCAAAAACATAGTAATTTGCTGTCAAGATTTAGTTAAGAGGAAGTGGCAGGGGTAAGATCCAGGGCTGGCACCGATTTTTGCCCTGCTGACTTTCACACTGAACCGATTAAAGTTTCCTGCTCTATATACCTAGCAAGGCTTCTGTCTATCAGGGAGAGATTTCCAGTCTGGTATTCAAAGCTCTGCTGCAGCTCATTGTGGCCACTCTTGGAGTTGGTTATAGGATGAGATAGAGCTGCAGGGAGATCAGGACACTTCTCTGCCCCATGGTCCTTTAGTCCTCTGTGACTCCTTGGCTCACAAGAGATTTATTACCCTGGGCATTCGCTTGTATCACTCAACAGAGGCCTTGGCCCTGGGCTGCTGTGGCCCTTGACATAGACAGAGTCCCCAGAAGGGACTGGCTTACTTTCCGCTAGACTGCTGTTGCCACACGCCGTCCAAGGATAGGGTTACAGTACACCTTGGCAAGGTGAATTCTGGACATTGCTAACTTCTCCGACACATTGTCCGTTTCTGTCTTCTCAAAAGATATCATAGTCCTGTTGAAAACAAAAAGGGAAAAAAGTGTTCAGGGGAGGTGCTCTGGACAGAAGGGATGCCAGAAAGAGTGACTGTTCTGAGAACTGAGCCTTCATGCTCCACTGTGGCAAGGCTGGGTTCAGGTACTTCTGGGTTCAGCTTGGCAATGCTGGTGGGGCCACAAGACAGTCTCTCTTACTCCACACAACCTATAAGCTGCATACCCACAGCCCATCTTTGATCCTGCATAGCTTAGGAACCCTTTCTGCAGCCTGCATAAAAACCCTAGAGGTGCATTTAGATACCTCCAGGCACAGGCTCTGCTGCCAGGTGGCCTGGAGCAGTTGGTCTGGTTCATTCAGAGACAGCACTCACTCCTCTTCAAAAACACAAACGAAATGCTTTTGGGACCGCCTCTGAACAGGAACGGGTGCCACCACAAGCCTGTATTTTAAAACAATTCAGATCAAACACTAAGGAACGCTAAACCAAAGAGCTTTCTATTTCCTCTGCTTCCCCTGTAATCCACCTGAGTGTCTGGTGATGCCTGGGAATGCTGCTAGCCTAAAACTTACCAGCCTCCTTTCACACTCAGAAGAGGTGGTTTTATCTGTCCTATCACTGATGGCCTCCAGCTGTAAAGCTTCCTACACAATCCATCTTTAATAAATTAGGACAATTACTCTGGGCTTCTGAAGGATAATTGCTAATAAACTTCAGCAGATTTTCCCCAAAAGACATGAAAGGGTTGGAAGCAGAAACAGAAAATAAAAGGGAAAAAAAAATGCAGGACAGAAATAATAGCCCTTGTTCCATTCATGTCTCATCCACTGCTGACAAGTTTTTGTTCTTAAAGTCACTATTTCAGAGGTGAATACTCCCAAACTGTCTGCAGTGTGGGAATGCCTCATGCCCACTGCTTTGGAAAACTGGTTGGATATTTTTGAAGTTAGTTACAAGATCTTCCTGAATCTAGAAGAAGCCAGGAAAGTCTCAGGCTTGGATTTACAAAGAATCAACATGGCATCCACTAAAGACAAAGTCACAAGAAGTCAAATATGTCCAGATTCATCCTGATAGGAACCCCTTTCAATACTTTCTCTTCCAAAGAAAGTTCAACGCACAGAAGCAGTAACTTCTGAAGCTTGGATGGTCTTAGGTGCTCTCTTGAGGCAATGTGGGCTAGGTTCAAGACAGTTGAGGAGCTCAGGCTAACTCAGGCTAACAGGCCTGGCTCTCTGTGAATAAAAGTAGACCAAACAGCTGAGTTAGGCAGCCCAAATGGCAGGAATCCCAAAACACACGAACTAGGAGCAGGAATAACCAGTGCTGTTTTCTGTATTGCACAGGGTCTACAAGAAGAGTAGCTCGAGAACTGCAAAGCCATTGGATGTGTCTGTCATACAGGAACTTGAGGCTGATAAAGGACTAGGTGGGTCACCAAGCCTGTCTCCAAGTAATGTCTGTCAGTTAACTAGGAGCAAATTATAGGTATCACTAATGAGAAACATGAAATGATACCAGCAGGTCTTGCCTGCAGTCTGTCTCTACTTGTGGCACACGGGCTGTTTTATATAGGAAAGCAAGAAAGCTTCTACAGAATTTATAAATATAAATTATATCTTGAAGGAAGGGGGAGGGAGTTTTCCTCCAGAGTAGGCCACTCACAACAGCCCTGAACATGGGATTTATGTGGGATACATATAGGAAACCAAATAGCTATGCAATTTTTTTCACATTCTCTCAAGTACATCAGCATATCACAAACCCAAGGATTCCTATCACCAGTGTAATTTTATGTCATTATGATTCTATTATGTAGTTATAAAATCCCTTTCACAAGCTCACAGAGATCCACCTTCAGAAACAAAGTAGTTTTCTTGTCTGGCCCCACTACTTCTAGTGGAAGACCATTCCAGATGTTTACTCCACAGGAGGTAAAAGTCCTTGCTACATTTGATTTGACGTATATCACATACCAAGTGCAGAATTAGACCAGGTGGATTACAGAGGAAATGGGAAGTTATTGCACCTCTTTTCCTACTTGAACAGGAAAAGAGACGAAGTATCAGAAAGCTCTTCACACCATGATTAGTATCTCCCTGCTCCTCCAAATCAGTGAAGATGCTAAAACAATTAAGGATAAACTTCAACATTAAACAGGACCTGAAACTGCCTTCTCATTTTATTTTCCTTCCTTGTATTTATAGTTCAGTATATCAATATCCTGAATTCCTCTTTCTGCATGGTATTTTTCTTTAAGCTTTTCTGATGTTAGCATAGTACAGTATGCAGCTAATCATGACAAGAAAGCCACTTCTCTCCAGGGGAGGTAATGAATTTAAATGAAACAGTATTGTAGAAGTGGAGAGTAAGTACATGTTTCCCACCAAAAGGCAGACTCACTTTGGGAGCACTGCATGGCAGAACACACTGAAAAGTCTCTCCTGCGACTGCTTATAGCTGATACTTACTAACCAGAGCTCTCTTGATCCAAGAAACATTGCAATAGGTCCAAACTTCTCTTTGTTTCAGTCTGGTTTTGTATCTGCCACACCAGTAGATGATACAATCCATATTGAGGAGTCATGACCCATGGAGTGGCCTCCTTGTCCTCTACCAGCCAAGAGCAAGGGTATCATTTTGTAAATTGCACCCCAGAGCACTTCAACTGAATCTATGATGTTTGTGTATGAAACTATGCTGATGGTTTTAGTTATGAATTACTCGTTGCACAATGAAAGAAACACCTGTCTACATCTATGGATGTAGAGCAAACCAATTCCTTAAGGCCAGCAGTCCTGCAACAGTGTTTTCTTCAATCCAGATAAATCAGCCACTCTTTATATCAAAGCTTCATGAATGGTGAAGTAAGCAACCACTAAGTGTTTTAAGAAAATCAATTCTCAGAGACTGTTACAGACTCCAGAAAGTCACTGAAGTTTCTTACAATCATGGTTTGTAATTCTGTAATGCTTTCTCCCATGGCATATAACCCTCTAACACAGCAGCTCCTAAACTATTCCCTTTCCATTCTGCAAGGTAGCAAGTGTGGTCACACACCCTTACTTGGGAACTGCTTTCCTAGCATGTATTCCTCATGTTATAACATGTTTCTAGCACCTAAGAGTCATCTGAACCTGCTTTGCAAAGTATTTAGAAATGAAGTATTAAAGTGATGTGACCCAAAGCACAAATTAACACCCAGCAGACTCAGGTGTGACTATTTGCTGCTTTGTATTGCAAGCAGAAATGACTGGATGCTAATGTTAATACTGGGAAATGTCATTAAGGGATGGTAATTCGATCCAGGGCACTCACACAGATTTAACATTGGTAGTAGCAGTAATGATTTATTCAAATTGCAGCATTACCTTGAGAAGCCACATTTTTGATGACCCTGTTGCAACAAGCACTGGATCCTGCCACCATCTTGAAAGGGAGATTACGGTGATGCCATGCCATGTGAACAACAGTACATGCTGCTCAGGGCAAAGCTGGGGCAAAGTGGGGTTCCAACCCTTCCATAAAACCTGTCTCTATATAGTCAGAGGAACCTATGTCTTGGAGAGTATGTGAGACCTAAACGGTGAGACCAAGGGCTTTTTCTCTGTACTATATGATATACTAGGCCAAGACAGCAAGCAGTCCTCGTTTACACACACATTCCCACTGATTCTGACATGAAAGACTGCCCTGTGATTCCAAATTTGCTGGGGCAAGCTCTGTGTACTTACACCCCTAAAGTCTTGTACTCACAAAGTCAAGGATCTGTATTTCTTTTCCAGGGCAATTTTTTCCAGGTAAAAAGATATGTAGAAGAGCAGGGCCATGAGGAAGTCATCTAGTTTCTCGTTCCTAAATGAGAGGTAGAAAAGTCACTGTGAAGTCTTCAGATTTACAGATATAGACACTACCAGACCATTATGAAATGGATCGAAGTCTCTGCTCAAGGGCCTGCATAATACCAAATATTAGCTATGTGGCTGAGACGTATTGGTAGCCAGCACTACATCTCAAACTAAGACTTTGAAGGCTTTTAGAGAATTACTAATAGAGTCCAATAAACATCATAATGAATGGATTCAATTGGATATTACCAGACATACTTCCAAGAAGAATGTTTTCTGCACTGAACATACTGAAAAAAGTGGCATTCATTTTCAAAGGAAGAGGGATACAACTCAGACACCTCTCCCCTTCTGCAAGGACAGTATGACTAAGGCTCAACAAGGTCTAGAGATGCATTCCTGTGTTAGTGATAATGTAGCCACTGTATGGCCCTGGTGATGACAGGAATATGCCTTTGAGAAATAATGCTCTACCTGCTGCCTCCTCGCTTATAGCCTATAGAGAAGTGATGCTGATAAGTGACAGAAGCAAATAATGAGCCCTGAAGCTCTTACATGAACAGCAGTAGGACAGGAAGGAAGCCCAGACTCCCAGTCATGTTAGCACTCCTGGTGCACACAATGTTGCAAATGTGCTGGCTAACATGGAATTTAACTTAGAGTAAAATGGATAATAGTCTTGGGACATTTAGGCCCAAGTTCTTGGCTTCTCTTAGGTAACAGAGTGGAAGGCTTTCAAGAAGGTGATAGGGTTATTTCTCTGCACATGTCAAGGACAGCAGGAATTTGGTTTTGTTTTCCACTGAACCTTCCAGATGAGATTTTAAACCTCCAATATTTCACATTCTACTTCTCATACACCCTGGTCCCTCCCCTACCAGCCACACACAAACAATTCTCAAAAAAACTCTAAATGACATACCCCATAACTACTTCAAGTGACAACATGTGATGTGACTCACGTGTGTCTTTCAAAAGCAAAGCAGCATCTGAAAACATACACAGGAGAAAAGCAATACTTCCTCAAAAAAAGTGCTAGTGTTAGTAGATATAGCACCCTAACTTGTATGGGCAATGCCCTGCTGATACAAAATATCAGCAATTACTCACATCTGACGTCATCTAACATCACATATTCATGTTGTGCCCACTGGGATATCATATGCAATTTTCCTTCTTTGTCAGCCAGCTTTCTTTCAGGGAGCTTTGAACTGCAATCGTCTTGGAAGATGCTTGTGGTTGACCAATATATAACATTTAAGGACACAGTGTTAATTCCAGTCTGAGAATATTATCTCCTTGGTATGTACTGTCTTCATTGCACTTAGTTTCAAAGGGACAGGCAGTGAAATGTGTTTGGCAGGTATTCTGAACTAACTTTCAGCTACTATTACCACAAAACAGGCTGGGGATGTGGAGGGAAATAGGACATTTCACCTCTAAGGTTGCGTCTGAAGTTGCTCTTTTAGTTGCTAATATAATAAATTGCAACTATATTATTTAGATCAAAGAGGTTTTAAGCAATGGATGGAAGTCAGCTATACTGTGTTGTGAATTTATAAAATTAATATTAATAATAATAATAATTTAATCTTTGAAGTGCCTCACACAGATGAATTAATTACCTCACAATACTCTTTAGAGTAGATGAGCATTATTACCTCATTCTAAGTGATCTGGAAACAGCAACAAAGATGCTGAATGACTTTACCAAAGTCACACCAGGCTAGTGCCTGAGCTAGCATTCAACATCAGGCATGTCTGGCTCTGTCTTTATGTTCAGACCACTCATCCACCCTGTTGAAATGACAGCTGGTTTCCTGTTTCATGTGCTTTGTTCAGGCATGATCCTAAGACAATGAATAAAAATATTCCCACCCAAAGGATCTTGTTTCATTTTGAGCCAGGCTAGTCAAATTGAAATACCTCTTTAACGTCCTTGCACATATTTCCTGAAAGAGAGTATTTTTTCCTTCTTTAAGGTTTTTCTCAACTGCTGGACTGGAGCTGAAATATAGAGTATGAGCATGCATTAGTAGGAGTTTAAATTACTAACAGCAGTACAAAGAGGTCAACATCCTGTGATACAAAGCTGTATCTACTCTGGCCTCTGACACTAAGAAAACATCTGGGTTGTGGTGAGATCAGGATGATACATTGCTTTCAAAAATACAGAAGCAAGAGTAATGGGGTTTCCCTGGGTCTTCCTGCGCTATCTCCTGCTACCATATGCACTCTGTCATGTGAACTCAAGCGATGTCCCAGGTGGCTTTAGGAAGATTTTACACATAAACTGCTCCATTCCAGAGCTTTTATTTGGGATCTTTGAGGGCAGAGACAGGCAGAGGTCACCAGGGAGCTCACACCTCTCCCTGGAGAGCTACTGGGCAGAGTCAGCAGCGTTCCCAAGCCCAACAGAGAAGCTGGTCAGAGCTGCTGAGACACAGACCATGAGAGGCGTCTGCAGTAGTGTGTGACCAATAGAGAGGTGAGCAGCCTGCTTCCACCATGACAAAGGTCTGGAAAATGCCCAGCAGGGCAGGCGGCAGCAGCGGGCAGTGCATGACTGACCCACCACAGCCATGCTACGCCATGCTCCCTGCCCTGCACTTGAGAGCAAGAGGGAGATAGTTCGAGTGTTGGGGTCTTTCTGCCCCTAAATGGCCTGAAAAAGTCTTAATCCACAATTGTCACAGATATTCAAAGTACAGTTACATGGAGTTTGGTCCCTGTAGAGCTGTGGTTTCCCTAAAGGTCTGCAGTACTCTGATGCTCTCACCATTGCACAGGGTCAAACGTAACACTGGCAAAAGAAAACATCAGTCTGTGGACCTCCACATATAGACACCCAGGGTGGCATCTGGCCCTCACATCCAGCACTGCTGTTCCAGTGCATTGTGCATGATTCTGACACATGGTAGGGCTTGCCACATACTTTTAGCCATTCCCCTGTAGTGGGTTCAGCTTGAAAGCAGTATGAAGTAAATGTGTATTTCTGGTTTTCTCTGTTAAGATGATGCCACAGAGCATCATCACTTAAGGAGCTCCAGTCTCAATTAAAAAAAAAAAAAAAAAGAAAAGAAAAAGCAAGAATTTGTCCTGTAGTCAATGTTGAGGTAAAAAAAAATATTAGACACTGATTTTACCTTACTTGGAACTGCTGTATCAAGGCCTAAACCTGCATAATTTGAAACTAAACATCTTTCTTACCTTGCAAATTCAAGGGTGTTAGTATCATCTTTCCAGTACCACATGCCTGGTCTTACTGTCTGCAAGAAAAAAAGTACGTCATAAATCTGTGCTCAAGTTCTCAGCCCAGCAACATGTTTGTCATGCAAGCACTGTGCATATGGGCCAATTTCTATCTTTCTTCAGTTTGCTTTTCACCCAGATGTTGTTTGTGTAAGAGTTATTTGAACAGAAGTTCTCTGAGATTAAAGGTTGACAGCGAAAGAAAGAAAAACATGTATCTGTCCCTCTTTATGTCTTTCAAGTTATGAATAAATAATTGAAAGTTTGCTAACGAACATCAGTTCTTTGATTGCCAGTGAATCAATAAAGCTTGAGAAATCAAATGGAGCCACTCACTGAAAAACTAATTGTTGCTTTTATTTAATAATATTTATGTAATTGTAGAGACTAAGTGTCAAGAGAAAGGAATATGTTGTGCATTTTCCTGATATTCTGAGAAGTTTAAAGAAACACCAGGTAGATGGTTCAAGGGACATGGGACAAAATGACTTGTAACAGCATTTTACAGTATCCATACTTTTTTTTTAAATATCCATTTATAAAAAATCCCCTGGAAATAAATAAGACGTATTAGTCCTTTCTTAATTAACATGAGAGACTTGCAAACCCTTAACTACTATTTGCAGGTCACCTTTAAAACAAAATTACTCTTATTGCTGAAATCCTTCTGCCCACAAATTTGAATTGAGTGAAGCTTTAAGGCTTTCTAAGTCTTTCTGCCAGGTACCATTCAGCCAGCCAGCCACAAGGCTCTCACAATTCTTGCTCAATCTAATTTGGTAGCAGAGTGCTGGATATGGGACACCAGAATAATTTCACCTCTGCAGCCAGCAACCCATGTAATGGTTAGACCACAGAGATGAATATTAGGAAACTATGGCTCTAATCCTTTGGCAAAAAGTGGTTATTTCAACTTGTCTGTTCTAGCCTTCAGTTCCAGCTCTCTAAATACTGGTTCATAAGTCTTGGATGAAAAGGGCCGTGCAGGTGCTGTACCTTTCTGTTACACACAAGGGATTATGAACCATGAAAGAAAACCAGAAAAGGTGGTAGCAAAGCATAGCAAGGCTGATCAACACATCACAGGAAGGAGAAAATACCACTCCTGTGTCTTCAAAATACAGGCCAGCTGCTTCTCACTATTAAGCATGGCTGAATGACTGTCCCCAACTGCTGGAGCAGTGGGACACGTCCCTGCCCTGCCCACCCCATGCAGTCCTCCCATGTGCCCCAGGATCTGTTGCAGAGGCAAACATGAATGGCAGCAACAAGGTGGAGCTGGGAAAGGTGGGGAGACTTACAGGTATCATGGTGCTTGGCTGGAAGACCACCAGAGCAAGGGGCAAAACAGGCACTGTTTCTGGCAGTATCCTCGTGACAGCCTCCTGTCCCCTAGGAACCACAGATCCCAACACACAAGTTCCCCTTCAGCCTGTTCTGTCGGCTGGGACTCACAGTCTGTGTGCTTTGCTCCCTCCCAGCTCTGCTAAGCAGCTTCCTTGGGTAACATTTTAGTCCAAACAGGCAAATTAAGGACTTTCCATGCAATAGCATCTTCACAGCCACTCACTGGGCTCACTGTATTTTTGAGGGGTGGGAGCTGCAGAGGTTTTCCTGATTACTGGCCGAGGACCATCAGCAGTGAAGGCAGCTGTGCCTGGCCCCTCTGCTACGGGCACTGATGTCTGTACAGCACTCTGAATGTTAAACATACTTTAGTTTCAGACTTTACAAGATTTAAAAGTATATCTACAGTGTCTCAAGTCTGTGACATGACCTAGGTCCCAACACAAGCAACCAGCTCAAGTTGCCCCTGGAAATAATTCCCATACACTATGACAGATCACTTTTGAGGGAGAGGTTTTGATCTTTGAGATAGTGTGAAGCACTTGCTTTTGCAAGCAGAGAATCTCTCATACTAGTCATTCACAGTGGGTCAGTGTTATATATAACTGGTACTGCTTAGATTGCACCCAAAATTAGTACAAGTTATAGGAACAAAAGCACTTTTTGCCAATAGAAGTCAAGTCCCCGCGAAGGGTGAGGCTTCACGTTACAGCTAAGCCAGCCTAGTTGTTGACGGAAGAGGCATTCTTGCCCCCTCCCATCAATTTTTACAACATTTATCTCGTGTGGATTCTTTATCTTCTCTGTCCCTGCAGCAAGGCGGCTCCCTGCACTGTCAAAAATAGTAATCCAGCAAAAATACATACGAAGCTTTCTGCTGAGTTAGCATTTAACATCATGGTGGTGTCAAAGAAGGGCCAGCAGAGATGCAGATAAAGACAAGGGGACAGCGGAGGACCACACTTTTCAGTACATCTGGTCAGCTATAATCTAAGAAATTTTTGTTAGTATAGCTGCACTAGGCCAGTACATACTTTGAAGAGATGAAAATACCTGACCTAAGACTTTTAGATAAATCAGTTCAGTAAGACGGAAGAAACATATCCTGTGCTTTCAGCTCTTAAAGTTGGCATTCATTTTTCCAATAGTTTCTGAGATGTTCATGATCACATGGAAAAACAAATAGGGAAAGAAAATTTCTTCAAAATCATTTGTCCCTAACTTACCCCCATTTCCACAGCCCTCCAAACACTGCAACTATTCTCCTACAGGTACTCTTTAAAGGTTTATTCATGCAAACAGAGTAAGCCAATGGATAGATAAACAAAAATCTCAGATCAGCCTGAAAATTCAGCTCTGGCTCTGTCCTCTACAGCCATCTCCTCTTTCTTTTCTTTTTTTTTTTTTTTTTTGCCAGTTGTATTGTGTATGTTTTGTTTCCAGTTGCTATTGCTGGCTGCCAAGTACGTATCCATGACTTGGCAGCCAAGTTACATATTTAAGAGGATGAGAGAAGCAGGTTTAGAAACAACCTCAGATCTCACTCATGGCAGCCAGGCAGCACTATAGAAATAGGCTCCCCACCAGGGTAAAGGGGGAAGTATGGAGCTGGTAGCTTGTTGACTCATTTGTGTAGAGTAGGGCTGTCATCACCCTCAGGAGACCATTATCCCATCTTGGCTCCAGCAGAAGTCGTGCCAAAAGGACTGGCAAAAGTAAAGGCGGAGTTGCAGATACTTGGGCTACCTATGTTAGCATTCACAGCACAGGAGGCAGGGGAGACAAGCCTTCACCTTTACTAATGTTGGGAGAAAATTGTCACAAAAAACCCAGACTAAACACAGGGAGAAACTAAGACTCAGAACTACCTACAGGGAGAACAACTGTGAAGGAAAAGGCTGGGGCTGATTGCTAAAGACAGAGCTGACCAGGCAGGCACAGAAGGCCTGGGAATCAGAGCAGCAGACAGGTGAACTAGGGGAAAATTAAGACAAATCCAGCAGGGATTTATGGAGAGTGGGACAGAATTGGCTCTGGCCCAGCACATGGACCAGGGCAGGCCACAGTTTCAGGGGGAATCCCAAGACTGACTGAATTACCAAGGCAGGAGACTTGGAATACTCAGAAGCAGCACTGTACTACCGTTAACCAAGTGTTTGCTGGAGGAGAACAGTTCAGCCCAAGTATTCCATGAGCTAAGGCTGCAGAGGTGAGCATCAAGCATCCCACCCATGCTGACTGCCCAAATGGGTATCAATCTTGAAAAAGAATTAGAAGCTTGGCATTGTGTGGCAAAGGAGATTAGTGTCTGTTGGATCCCTGCTTCAGCTGTTGCAAGAGTTGGAAGCTGTAAAAAGAGTGAGCCAGAAAATTAGAAGTGGAATTAAGGTATAAAAGTTGAAGCAGTTGAAGGCTACATGGGAAACTGATTTCCACATGGGCTTCAGTCACAGAATGCCAGGCAAATCACTCCAACCTGCATTCAACCCTAATGACCATTATTTGCATGCTCTTTTCTTTCTGAGCAAATGGCTTGGCTTCTTGGAATTCTGAAATGCAGGACTCAGTATCCACAGCTGTGACAGAAGCCAATGGGAACTCTGCTTTGAACAGCCTTAAAAACCATTTAATACTAAGCTGTCTGAAGAAAAAAGCTCCTAGTCATCTCCAGGGAAGACCATGTAATAGACACGTGGCATCTGGCTTTTGCTGACTTATCACCATCTTTCTGTGGGAATTATGCACATCTCAGGGCTGAAAACTGAACTGATAATATTGTGAAGCACTTGGGATGTAATGGTGATGACCTCAACAGGCAACCTCCTAAACGATAATTCTTCTCTAGAGCCAAGGCTGGAAAGCACACAGAAAATAGGGTGTAAATTGTACTGGGAAGCATTACTTTCTTTGCGCACACGCTGCCCATTGTGTGCACTGCCTCTTTCTACAGAAGAAACAAAAAAAAAAGAAATTGTTACTGGATAATTAAAAACTGGGTTCGAAAGCACAAGCACAAAGCAAGCAAGAAATACCTTGTTCTGATGGTCATAATTCTGAACAACTGACCTTGCAGCTGTAATAGGCTTCTTTTAATATTGTCATGTTTGTGTGTCCATGCACATCCCAGTAGCTGGGAACACTCAACAGTATGTGAATACACCTATTTTTTAAGTATATCTGATGTTTCGGTTGGATATCACACCCAGAAAATAAACACATGAATAAATTCAACAAAATTATCACTGACTCACCATCCAGCTATTCTCTTCCTTTTCTGCCTCTTTTTTCTTCTTGCTGTGTCATGTCTGTCTTCCATACCCACCGCATTAATTTCCTCCTCTTTTCCCAGGGTCAGTTAAATGACAGGCCTGGTTTCTCTGAGCATATTAGACTCTGTGTGTGCCCACTACTGTTTGCATTAAAAACACAAGTGCAGAATATAATTTCACAGTAACTAATTCTTAGTCCATGACTACGCCATTTACCTGCCAAGTACTTCTGCCTGCTCATTAGAAACAGGATCATGCTATATGAATGGAATAAATAATGTCCTCAGGCATGATAATGAACACCAGTATGTTTTTTCACTTCAGATTTGTGCAGAATTGAAGCTCAAAATTTCTTGGTTTCAGCAATTTGCACGGTTTTCACATATCAGCACTGCTGCATTTCAGTCCCATTCCTTGGACCACGCACAGCAAAGGGTAGTTGGACAGCTGCACTGTAAGTCCTGGAGAGATACTGTGTCCACTTCACATCCTGTCTTCCTGGGACACCAGCACTAGCCTTGCCGCAGACTCAGAGCCTGGCTGGCTGCTGCGTTCAGTGGTGGCTACATCCACAGCCACAAACTGGCTAAAGGTGTTTGATACGCAAAGGCAGCAATAGCTACCGAGCCCACATCTAAGAGAAATCAGGAGGCACTGATTGCCTAGCAGCGCTTATGGGAATGCAGGCTGCTTTTGGAAAGCCAGAAAAACCAGCTGCACATTCCTTTACTGAAATCCTTGTGCAATTACTCCCTCCGCATTGTTTTATCAGATGAGATTACTGAACATTAGCAGTTGTCAGCTGTTTTCATACAGCTAGGCATTTGCCTTGTGCCCCCAGTAATCAACCTTTTGTTATTAAAATGCCTCTAATAGGAAAGCCAAAGTATTGAAATGTATCTCATACTCAGTAGGTATTTTCAAAACTTTCATTTTGATTCTGTGTTCTGAGGTACTCAGAAATGTATGGAGCTTAACAAAAATGTCACAGCCTATTTTCTAGTTCTGCTGTAGGATATAATAACCATCTACATGCTACAGAATCAGGAAAACAAGTGAAAATTTAATACAGAAGTACTATAGGCAAGATCTCTATTCAACTCTATAAGCTTTGAAGGTAGCTTTTACAGGGAACTTCTTCACTTTTACTTTTAATTTGTTACAGGACTTATTGGCTTATTAGAATTTTTAGTTTAGCTAGCCTCCACCTGCAGGGCTGGGGATAGGACTAAGGACATACTGTCATCAGTTCTCTTTAACCAGACTGTGTTTGGTACATTTGCAAACATGTTGGGAATGAGATCTGCAGCAGGAAAAGGATTCTGCCAAATGAGAGGTAAATGTGGTTTTCATAGAAATAAGCTTACATTTTTAGACACAGCCTGGAAAAAAAATAATGCTGTGTTCAGCTACGACGTGATTGGTACAGTGTCAGTTCAGCCATGCAACAGCTCATACAGGGATTGACTTAAAATATTTAATTATGCTTGCCAGTGAACAGCAAGACAACCAAGACCCTAAATCCATTTTTTTATCTAGAGTGCTGCCTGAAACAAATAGCATTTGCACTGCTAGAAGTCTTTTTGTTCTTCAATCCTATTAAAAATAGATTTTTAACTGCTGATCTGCAATCATTTGGAGCAGCAAAATTTTGAACTGCTCCAACAGACAGGGTACAGGTGCTGCTAACTGCTACCTAAGCATAAGCAAGAAAGACCTTACGCTGCTTGGTCCAGGATATAACAGCAATTTGTCAACTT